GGCTCGGTAGTGAGCTTGGACTTGCTTCCGATGTTCGCTTTGGGCGCTCTACTRTCCCGAGCTGCTTGCCYTTGCCACGTGTCGGGCGATCGCGAGGTCGGGCCAAATTTCCCTTCATCAATTACATATCCGTATATTAAATGATATAATATGTATATAAACTTATTTATATAATATAAAATATTACATATAGTATAAATTATACATACCATGTTATAATATTTTTATATAAAATATATAATATAATGTAAAATAACATGTATACATTATACATAAAATGTATAAGTTTAAATATATGCAGGCCAGGCTGAACCCCGGCCAAACTTAAAGTATTAAGCTCGAGTTCAGCTCTAAAATTTACAAGCCTGATGTAGGCTCGGGTCTAGGCCTAGGCCGGGCCTGAACACAAAACCCAGGCCCAAACCCAAAATTTTCAGGCCGGGCTGAAATGATCACCCCTAATCTAGGATCCTCCAAGGAATGAGTAAAGATACACTCAGCAATGACTGCCAAGTCAAGGTGGTCAGTTGGCATCCTGTCATTGAAAAGGCTCATGTTCAAATTTGTAGAAAAAGCAGGCTCTACACATTGTGCATACGCTAGTGGGACCCCTACTGACCCGTTAACCACGGGTCTAGTCTAAAGACCTTGTGGGACCAAAATCGCATTGTAATAATACTAAAAAAGTTGTAGTGGCTAATCATCCCTATGCATGACTAACATAGGAGACTCGATCGTATATATTCTGACGTTCTTGGTGGCTCTCTTGGAAACTTCCTTATATTTTGGAATATAAAGCATCTCTTCAACTTGGTCATGACTCGTTTCTCTTGTCTACGTACAAATTTGAATTTTACTTGTATGGAAGAATTGTGCGGTCAATCAAGACTTTAATTAAATAGTAAATTTGTGTATAAGATGGATATTATATTTGATGGGCGTGGAAGTGACTTCTATGTAAGATCGAGATGCATGGCGATTAGACTTGGCAAAAAGTGGACTGAATTCGTAAATTCGATTCAATTCAATCCGAAAAAATAGGGTTAGGGTCTCATATTTAACTACTCGAATGTGAAAATGACTCGATCCGACAAAAAAAAAAAAACTGGATTAGGTTGGGTTGGGTCATGGGTCAACCTGCTGATTCGATTGTCAAGTCTAATTGGAATTATTTATGCATTGCTAGAAGTTTCCATTCCTTAATTTTTTCAATTTAGTCTTTACTTTTTATTGTTTACTCTTTAATTGTTAAATGTTCAAGTTTTTTATTTTATATTTGGAATTTTAAGGTTAATTATTTTAATTTTAACATTTTTCTTGTAATTTTTCTTTATTTTTTTTAATTTCATTTATTTTTTGGAATGACCCGAATTGACACATGGGTCAACCCTAACCCGAACATTTAGGGTTAGGGTCTAGCATTTGACAACCCAACCCGAAGTACCTTGACCCACCCCAAATCCGACCCGCCCATCCCAATTGCCAGGTCTAATGGCGACGTCGATCCTCGACAAAGGATGCCCACGGTTTGGGTAATCTAACCGTGGGGCATTTTTTGTAACTAAGTCGGTAGTATTGGTTTTTGGAAAATTGGTAGTTGAAATCGAATTGAAACTAATTGGTTAATTGGTTTAATTAATCGTCGGTTCGGTTTGTCAGTTTTTTGGTTTTTTAATTTTTATAATATATATTATAAAAATATATATGAATATATGATAAAAATTATAAATATATATATAAATATTATATTTTAAATCATAAATAATATATCATATATTATAAATATATATTTTTATATAATGTATATTTATTAATTTATAATATATAAAAATATTATATATATATATATAATATAGAAATATATATATATATCAATTGGTTCAATTAACCGCCAATTTTTTATATTGATTAATCGAAACCAAATCAGTACCTTCAATTTTTCAAAAACATCAAACCGACCAATTTAATTAACTGATTTTTCGGTTTGATTTCGATCGATTCGATTTTTCATTTTTCATTTTGCATTTTGCTCACCCCTATCCTCGGCTGATCAGCAATAAATACCTAAGACATCATCGCCACCCATTCAGATACCATGATGACTAACGAAGAGCAATTTGGCCTACGACCGAGCTGAGTTGAATAAGCAAAAAAGCACACCCTGCTAAGCCGAGCTGGCATTAGTAAAAATACGTAACATTTGCCCACTTTATCAGCTTGTGGGCCTTGGGCTTTCCTTACGTGCAGGTGTCCTATCCGTCACCACTACATTTAAGTTGGCATGAGCATCCTCAACCTATATAAAGCTAAAATCCAATAGGGACATTTGCATTTACTATCTTTTTATTACATCTCCCTCTTCCATATCCGAGCTTGGTCTGAACAACCTAGAGGCTTTTGATCATCATCAATATTCATTTTTTTAATCTCTAATAATAAAAGACCAAAAAATCAAATAGTGCAAGAATAAGTAGAAAATTAAAAAAAAAAACTAAAGATATAAGTGGACAGTATAGAATCAAATTTAAATTTTATAATTTGTACGAAAATTAAGGCAAATATTTAATTTATACTAATATAAATATATGTATTTATAATATATATTATAAATATAAAAAACCAAAAAGTCAAAAAAACTTAGTTGATCAACAAACGAACCGATCAACCAATTAATCAATTGATTCGGTTTGGGACAGTGCAAAAACTGAAGAATCAGTTTGATTTCAAAATTATACCCATGGTTCGGTTAGCCAAACCGTGAACCACTACCCAATGTTGGTCGGTCGCTTGAGTGTATACTGAGTACTGACCTACATTCTATGCTTGTCAGCCCAAAATTTTACCATTGCCTATACTCATAATATAAGAAAATAATTATCAAAAGCATGGTTTTTAAAATTGGACCAGAAAAACTGGGAATCGGTCATTTGACCGGTTTCATTTTTTCTCTAAAATCGTTAATTTTGATCAACAAATTACTGAATCGGCCGATTAATCATTTAAATCATTCGAACGATTTTAACCATTTTTTAATTTTTTATATTTTTATCAAAACGAACTGATTGTTTGGGTTGAATGGTCAAACCATTTGAACCAGTAACCGCACCCCTGACCGATTCGATTTTAAAAACCATGATCAAAAGCTTATCCATCGATATTTGCCTTTAATTCAATGTAGGTCCTAAAAGTTGAATACAAATTTCATGAATATATGGCTAATACCAAGGATTTCAAACTCTCATTAACCCGAACTGTCCAAAAACCCAGTCAATGTATTGGTTCCGTTACATTTACAACACACACAAAAAAAAAGTATTGGTTTCGTTTCACCCTCAAACAACTAGTTTTACAAAAACTAATGGATTGGTCAATGACTTGCTGACCTGGGCCGGCCGACCCGGACAATGATTTTCATGCCAAAAATTTATTTGAATACCTTTTTATTTTTTAAAACATTACCAATTGTTAGGACCAGAGGATCGAACCATTGACCTAAAAACCGATGATCAAATCGGTTCCAATTGTATTCCGATTTTTAATGCATTTGGTTAATACTTGGTCGCACACGTTTGGCCCTTATTAAATAATAAATATTTAATAAGCTTCGCTTTTAAACCTTTGGCCCTTTTAGTGAAACTTCGTTTCCTTGCTATTTTTGTAAAAACAAAATTGGAGGGTTGGAAACAAAGTTTCACAGTAAAGGGGCAGAAATAATAGTTGAAATGTTTTAATCAAAAGTATTTCTTAATTACAGATTTTATTAATCACCTAGATGTCTTTGTTTAGGTGGGTAAGTCCCACAGACCCGTGTACCTGTCCATGTAACTTATCCAATTGTCCAAATATAAAACAAAGAGAACACAACTGTTACGACTTACAAAAGTTTCTTGTTGTCTTTCGGCCCACATTCCATGACCCGACCCATTTAATAGTGGAGTCAGGGTGGACCTCCATACTCTCAGTGGATGGACAACTGGCAAAATTGTGGGCCCCCATGTGGGTTTCTGACTTTCTGGTTATGTGTGCCTGGGCCGAAGCCTCTTGCATTGCCCCGATTACTTTCCAAGCAAAACCCGAATACATGACCATAGATTTTATGCAAACCTGTGCACATGTCCATAGACTGATGATAAGACTCACTTCTGCTCAGACACACAAAAAAAGGGGCAATTCTGCTATTTCCGGCATGCGGTGTCTTTATTTATATTATCGTCGATTCATCCGCGTCTGAACTCGATTCTCCAGCAATACAAAACAAAATGAGCACTTGAGCAGCTAATGCTCTTACGCTCACTTCTTCGAATGAGTTACAGAAAAATTATGGCTTCTTCATCCTCATCTTTCTTCTTTTTTCTCCTTTCTCTGCTCTCTTTCTTCTCCTTCATTTGTTCATTACCAGATGTCAAAACCACCACCATTACAATCCCTCTCTCACGATTCAAGAACAACCCATCTCCAGATCCATTGCACAAGCTCACCCATCTCGTTTCTGCCTCTTTAACCAGAGCCAAACATATAAAAAATCCACCAGAAAGCCATCCCACCAAAACCCCTCTTTTCCCCCGCAGCTATGGAGGCTACTCCATTCCGCTCAGCTTCGGCACTCCTCCTCAGACAATCCCCTTTATCATGGACACAGGTAGTGATCTTGTCTGGTTCCCCTGTACCCATCGCTATATCTGCAAGAACTGTACTTTCCCGAACCAGAACCTCACAACTGACCCAATTTTCATCCCTAAAGCATCCTCCACGGCGAAGATTGTAGGCTGTAGAAACCCGAAATGTGGTTGGATTCACGACCCAGACGCTCAATCCAGATGCATGGACTGTGACCCCAATTCGAGTAACTGCACACAGATCTGTCCGCCTTACGCTATTGTCTACGGTTCGGGTTCAACGGCCGGGCTTCTCCTCTCTGAAACACTCGATTTTCCTGAGATAAAGATACCCAATTTTGTCGTCGGATGTTCACTTTTCTCCTCCCGTCAACCCTCCGGAATCGCCGGCTTCGGCCGTGGGTCACCCTCGTTACCTTCCCAGCTCGGTCTAAAGAGATTCTCTTACTGTCTCGTCTCTCACCGTTTCGACGACACCACCGAAAGCACCTCGCTTAATCTGTACGGTGGGTCATATTCCGGCGACCATAAGACCAAGGGCCTTAGCTATACCCCGTTTCTGAAAAACCCAGCCACCGGGAGACACGCATTCTCCGTCTACTACTACATCGGCCTTCGAAAAATCACCGTCGGCGGCAAACGCGTCAAAATCCCGTACCACTATCTAGCCATGGGTTCGGATGGCAACGGAGGAGCAATAATAGATTCCGGCTCGACGTTCACGTTCATGGAGAAGCGGGTGTTCGACCTGGTCGCACGTGAATTCGAGAACCAGGTATCGCATTACAGCAGAGCTTCGGATGTGGAAACCATTACCGGGTTGCGCCCCTGTTTCAACGTATCGGACGAGAAGACATTGTCGTTGCCGGAGCTGGTCTTCCACTTCAAGGGAGGTGCGAAGATGGCTCTACCGTTGCCGAATTACTACTCCATCTTCAGTGCCGACGGCGTGGTTTGCTTGACCATCGTGACGGACGGCGTTATCCCCGATACGGATGTATCGGGTGGACCATCGATCATATTAGGGAACTACCAGCAGCAGAATTTCTACGTTGAGTACGATTTGGAGAACGATAGATTAGGGTTTCGGGAACAGATTTGCTGAGTATCGGACGATGCCGGCTATGGCTGGATCCCGATAACGTTACGTTACGTCATTTTATTTTATCTGAACTAATCTGATACAGGTATTGTAACTATTAATTTTTTAAATGAATAAGGATGGTTACGTTGGATTCTAATGTGACGGTTGAGAGCTCGTGCTTAGGTAGACATGTGCTTTTGTGATACCGTAAGGAAATTAATGGGCGGCTTGGCGCATGGCGCTTTTTCCCGTAAAAGGAGGTTGTGACTTGTGAGTGTGAACTGTCCAAAATGTGAATTGTGTGATCTTTGAATTGAAAATGGTAGTCACTGAGTGGATTCCAATCCAACGGTTTTGGGTTTCCTTCGGTGGGAAAAATGGTAGTCACTGAGTGCACAGAAACATTCCTCATGTTGAGAAGCGTTGGCGTCAGGCCTTCAAGTGGACATGGCCCATCATGGATTAGGTCCATTACAGATACAACGCATTGTACGTCGTATGTATATGTATGTAGAGGTTGAATTATTGATCCTCTGGCTATTTTCGATAACTACCGACCATACGATGAGAATTATAGAGATTCGCTCTCTCTCTCTCTCTCTCTCTCTCTCTCTCACTATGGATAAGGGTTTTGTAATGGTACCAAGTGGGGTATTTGTTCTATCACATGATGGCATTATGTGGGCTATCAAGAACCAACAGGGCCATAAGGGGGACGCTGTCTGCACTTGGCCATGAATTGTTCACTTTCACAAGTGGCCAACAAAAAGATTTGCCACGTGGCAATGGCTTCCGTGCTGAAATAAATTGCCTGAATTCTTATTTCTTACTTAAAAGGCTTTAAAATGATAGTTTAAGGAATTTTCTTGCCTTGTAATGATACCATAGGAGTGAATAAAAGATTATGGTTAGATAGAAGATTAGTTTATTAAGACTTTCACCAAAAGTTTTGCACAAATCATTTACAGGACAATAATCAAACCATTAAAATCAAAGAAACTCCAAATTTGCGCAATGAATCCCGCAGATTGGTTCGGGTTGAGGTCAACTGTAAGTATGTGTTAAAACTTCATTCTTGAGTTCTTGACCCAAACCCAACCCCCCACTGTTCAACCCCGAAAACCTCATCTGACATTATTTGATTGTTTTGGATTTAGATGATTCATTTACATAATTGGATTATATTTGGATTTTCGAATTTAAGCGTTTAATAATTGAATCGGATTCAAATGTTGTTGAGTAAAACGAATTATTGGTGGGTCAGTTGGTAGGATTTTTGACTCATTCCAGAAGAGGTCGGAGTATGAAAATGATATATAGACGTCTTGTTATAGACTTAGTAATATGATTGACATTTTTCAACCCGATATAACTAACCCGATCTTCAACAGAACCAAACCCAACCTTAATGATTTTTGAGGTTAAGTTTCACCCCTGCATTTGACATTCTTAGGACTAATCTTCTTTTCGCAGTTAAAATGCCAAATGCAGCCTAATAACCCCTCCTTAATTTTAATCTCACGGGGATGAGCTCTTTTGCACAAATGTTCTGTGTCTTTAAGCTATAACACTAGTGTTGTTGGTGTGATTCCTCATATTTTTGCAAAGCACAACAAATAGACAGGTGGCGTAACCTTATATACACTTGAAAAGGCATTATATACGAGTATGAGACCAACCTAAGGCATCAAAAGATTCGCGAACATGGGTTCTTTAATTGCTTATTGCTTTCTCTTTTTCTTGCTTTGGATGAATGCGGCGTTGAAAGATAATAATCTTAAACCAAGTTTCGAGATTATGATGGTGGATAGATGCAATATGGCAATTTGAAATTTTCGGGTATGATCATTGAGTAACAACGCTTTTCTTTGCCTAAATAAAAGGACTCGCATGGAAAGTCGGTTGGGCCTTGGCACTAAATTAAAAAAGCAAACTCACTATGAGAGTGGAAAAGCTCAATTATGAGTCTGTGATTGCAGAAGTTGGAAGGTTTCAAGCCATGTGAGCTTGGCTGTATCAAAAGGAGTTGGCGAAGCAAGTAGATGTATATATATTCTATCTATTTAAAACGCAGTTGTCCATGACAGTTTATTCTTTTTCCTTTCTATATTGTTTTTCGACCCATTGGAGTTTTGTGGTATTTCTGAATATTAAAAAATAGAAAAGAATCAAACATGGGATTATTTATATTCACCCACAATTAAAATTTAATTTCCCTATAGGGAGTGATTAAAATTCAATTAAAATTATATAGGGAGTGATTATTATATAACATGGAGAGAGAGAGAGAGAGAGAATGGTGGTTGTCAGTGCATGAGAATGAGACAATTGATGAGGGGCTAAAGGTCCGATCTTGTACTTGTGAGCTGGATTTTTTGTTATGGCATACATGAATGTGGGATCCTATGAGGCTTGAATATGACACTTGCCTTGAGCTAGTTGAGTTCACATCAGCGCCCCACAACGCCCCACGGGGCGCTGATGTGAACTCGAGCTAGTTATATCTGATGTAGTTGATAACTCCTGTTTGAGTTAAGATGCAAATAAAAAAGGGAGAGACTCTCGTTTTTAACCATCATCTTGATCATTTAGGGTTACTGCAAATGGTATTTGACTGAATTCAATTAGGAATCCAAATTCAATCTGTTTATAATTAGATCAAATAAGATGTATCTCTGTACTAATTTGATTCAATTCAATTTAATTTTAAAATATATTGTTAATATAAACCCTCTTTTTTTCGAAAAAAATGCTCATTAATCTAATTCATTGCACCTATTCATTCATCAATACAAATAAGTTTAAGGAAATCAGGGGATCAAAGACCATGACTTTGGGTCTTGAACAATTACAAGAAAATTTAGCTATCAAATGAGCAGCTCGGTTATCTGTACGAGGGGTGAAGGGGAACGAGGCTTGAGTGAAGCCTTATATAAGATTCTTCCAATCAGCAATGTAAAATATGTTTATATAAACTTGGGTAAATTACAGATTACTATCTTGTATTTTGGATAGTGACAATTAACCCTTTGAACTTTCAGATTATAACAGAGACCCCCTTCATAGTATTCCATCGGTTAACCTTGAAAAGAATTCCCATGTGATAGTTAAACTTTTTTAAATAAGTTTTAAAGAGAATTTACTCGATATGCATGATGAGGCATTATAAAACCAAAAACAAAATACTTTTAGTTTCTCTATTTTCTTTTGTGCTGACATTATCTCTAGCAAGCAAAAACCCTGTGAACACTTTGCAAGGATGGATATCCAATCACATATTGGGAACATCTCCAGATATTCCCAATGTGCAGATGGATTCCTTGTTCTCAGAGATTTTTCTTTCAATAGATCCAGACTCTCTTTTGTCCCATCAATTACTCTTAACTATGTTTTTAGACAACAAATGTTATCAAAGTCAAACTCAAATATAGCAACCATGAAATCTTTACCACGAGGTTTGAAGTGGAGAAATTTAGCAATGAGAACAATTTTGGTCTGAAAAGTCAAAGTTTTAGATATTTACAAATTTAGTAAAAGGAAGATTTTATTACCTTTCCCTACTTTTTTCTTTCTAAACAAATACAGTCATAATTCTAATATACTTAAAATTATGTTTTGTCTATAAATAAAATTGATTCGAATATATTGTGTTTTTACTTAATTTTTATAGGTGCAAATTTCATATAAGTAATTTTCAAGTATTTTTGTTCATAAAATATAACATCAAAGTCATTTTTAATTCATTTTATTAATATTATATAATTTTTTGATCAATTTTAGTTTAACTTATTTAAGCTATTGAACATGTATCTGCAATCTAAATTTGATTTAAATCTAAAATAAATCCATTGGATAAGATTGGATTCGAAGTCAAATGTAAATGAGTCAAATTTGAGTCTACCTACATTCTATTCGGTTCAATTCGTTTGCAGCCCTATATACAATTTGTATATTATGTTTTGTTTATTCGGATTTGTGTAGCGATCCTTTTCATGCTAGAAGAGGAAAGAATATTATTCTTTAAGAAGTGAGTTTTGCTTTGGCATATTTCCAGGTTTTGGTTCTTAGTAATCTCTTTGTTTATAATTGGGATTGTTTGTATGCCTATGCCTCTGTATTAAGCATCCAGTTAAGGGCAGCCTAGTGCATGAAGCTCCGATCAATGAGGGGTTTAGGGAGGGATAAATGTATGCAGCCTTACCCTTACATATACAAAGAGATGATGTTTTCAAGATTTGAACCCTGTCACTCTGGTTATCTAGTTGAACCATATAAATCGCTTTACTTGCTTTGTGTTTTTCTTTATTTTTGTGTGGTACTACTACCATCTATCGCATTTTTTACACAATAATGAGATAATCTGTTTTTTATGTTTATGAAGTATCATGTAACTAAACCAACTATAATAGAGAACTAGGGATGGCAATTTTCCCTATGCCCCGAATGGAGCAAGGATGGGGATGATTTTCCCCCCGCAGGGACGGGGATGGGGAAATTTTCATTCTTCTTAACGGGGATGGGGCGGGGACCGGGAGAGCACTCCTTGCCCCGCAGGGACCCCAATCCCCACTTTGTGGGATCCCCACTAATATATATGTATATATGTATGCATATGTTATATGTAAATATGTAAACATACATCTATATATTAATATTTTAAAAATATAGTTGAATATGTTTGAATATTTTCTAATACGATTGTAAATGTTAATTATTTTATTTTTATTTTTTTAAATAAAATAAAAAAACAAAAACAAAATGGTTAGCACTATAAAGAATCATGGGGAATGGGGATCCTCGCGGGGATAGGGATCCCTGTGAGGATGGGGATGGGGATAACCTTGTCCCCGTTAGTGGGGCGGGGACGGGGATGGGGATAACCTTGTCCTCGTTGCCATTCCTATAGATAACCCATTAGGTCATCCTTGTAATTAAGTCCCATTTTCCATATCAACAATAAAACCCATATTATATTGTATTGTTGTGGTTTCTCCAAATATCATAATTCGTTTTAGGTTTCAATTGTTTAATCAATTTTGATATTGCCCTTTAGACATGTTGCTCGGTCTTTTCCTGGTAAAATTTCTACTATAAATATGAATTTTTAGTGGATTTATTTTGGTTGAAATGCTTAAATTTAGTTTAAAACTTTGGAGTTGGGTCACTTATTTCACTCAATGCTTTGGATATCATTAATATTAAAGTAATAATGTAAAGATAATAATACTAATATAAGTTAGTATAAATTAAAACACACACTACAAATGTCAATAAAGTAATTAACTTGTAAAATATTCATACAAAATTCCAAAAATTAAAAAAAAAATCAAACCAAGAGT